AAATAAGAGCTTGGATTTTAAAGTTTTCCATGAAGTTGCTACAGTTGACCAACAGATGTCAGTCTCCGTCAGCATAACATCTTTAAATCATTCTGAGTCTCCAACCCCGTTGCTTCGACCAATTACGTCAAGTAATAAGCTCCAGCGTTTAAACTTTTTTTAAAAAAAAAAAGGAGCTCCAATTGTAAAGTAAAATAAATCAAAACATACAAAATTTTAGTATGGATTACAAACTTTAACTGTTTTTTCTATTGCCTTTCTGCTACGCAAGCAGACACAAAGCATTGTGGGAAATGAAAACTGTGACCCAAAGCAACAGTCAGCAAGGATGTATACCTTCACAATAAGTGTGCTTATCTGGGAGGGGTGCTGTTGGATAGATCACGTGTTGTGATTCATTGACAGCCAAACCTTCCACTGTTCAAGATAATGTTGACTGGTAGATAATTAGTTATTAGTGGTACTGCGTTTTAATTTTAGAAAGCGCAAATCCACTTATGAATTATAAAAATTAGGAAGTTGGCCAAAGCACAAATAAAATGTTTAGGTCCGCAATTAGCGGATTTGTGCTTTAGCTGGCTGGTGCCCACCACTGGTAAGGAGTAACTTCTCCATGGTGGACATGTCTCCCAATCATTTCTACTGTTTTACTGATGGATCCGTCCTGAAGGGGTCAGTAGGTGCAGGGGTGCTGATTTTACACAACCATTGTGAGAGAGAGAACAGATACCCAACGCATTTGCAACTGTATCTCAAGCTGAGATATATGCAATCCACCAATGTGTGGCATCTCTCAAAGACCTTCAGTGTACACAGAAAGAAATATTCATACAGACAAGCAGCTATTAGAGCTTTTCAAGGGCCACACTTAACGTCATCACTGGCTCTGGAGTGTGCTGAAGCAGTCAACCAGTCTGCTCAACCAACACATAATGGTGATGGGACTCCATAACAATGGTCTGTGTGATGCCTGTGGCATTGAACTACAGACCTCTTTGCTCTACTTAGACTACTGCCTGGCTCTGAGTGGTCAAAGGAAAAGAATTCTTTGAGACCCCTTTATGGATCCTGAGAAGCTCAGAAGACTGAGTGTTTCTCACTTTGTGTCCTTCATCCGAGGAACACCAAGGTTTGATTAAAACTCTGTCTTTTTGGGGGGGAACAATGGGCCCACCTTTGAGACCCCCGCTCATATGGGTTTGTTTTTACCCATCCCCACTCACCATAAACTCTTAAGTACACAGTTTAGAGCAGACCCAGATAGAAAAAAATGTTAATTCAATGTTGAATTATGGTCAAAAAAGTTGATTTTTGGTTAATGATTGATGGTTAATTAATTATCAAACAGTCATCCAATTCTAGCCAAATGACCAATGTTGAAAAGATGTTATTGATGTTTTGTGGTCCAAATGTAATGATTGAAATGCCAATATCTAGTCAATGTTGAGTCAACATCAGTTATGGTTGAAAAGAACAATTTCTAAAGGTTTTGTCAGTACGTGATTGACTAGAGCCATAAACAAATATGCAATAATTATTCCAGTCATGCTAGTTTTATCAAAAACTGTATATTTAATGTCAATTTATTTGTTTGTGTTTCTTAACCTTCCAGGTTTACAGAGCTTTATGTACAGGAGCTAGAAAATGAAGGAGATCTGAGGATCCTTGTTTCAGACTACCTGAAGTGCCTGAATCCACCAAAGAGTGTTATTAGTGGAATCATAAGGTTTGCCTTTAAATATTATCATTTAGAACTCAGTTATCTTAATAAATACAGAGAATCGTTACAAATACAGGACTGTAATTCAGTTTGTCTTAATGTTACATGTCTAGAATACTTGGCACAAGTTAGCACAATTTCCAAAAATATCTGTTTTTTATATATATATAGTATATACAAATACGTGCACACACAAACACGTAGGGTTTTACTATACTGTATATAAATATGCGTATGTTTAATCATAATGATTGGAAAACCCAACTGTATACTCACCAGGGCTATTTAAAAAAATATGTTTTCTGTTTTAGTTTTTACCTAGCAGCACGGAAAGAGGCCGGCGCCCATTTGACAGATGGAACTGGTCACAGACCCCATTACAGTCTTCGGACTCTGTGCAGGGCTTTAAAGTATGCAGCTGCAAATCCTTGCCACAGTGTGCAGCGATCACTGTATGAGGTAAGAAGCCAGGGAGGGATGGGTTTCTTGTTACGTTGAGATAGTAGAGGTGTTGTATGTAAAAGTCATGTGATCATCAGAGAAGGCGACAGTGGTAATGTTTTTGCTTGAGTAACAAAACCTCATGAATCAACAAACTGATTTTTAAACTGTCAGGAAATAATTCATGTGTGTAGAGTGATGAGTGATTAAATGAATGAAAGTCAATCCACGGTCCCCACGAGGATATAAAAACAAACCTGTGTTCTTGTGATGTGTTTATATTCCACCTGAACCTCAGGGTTTTTGCTTGAGTTTCCTGACTCAGCTGGACAGAAGCTCCCACCCTCTGCTTCAGAACCTGGTGTGTAAATTCGTTCTGATGGGAAACACAAAGTGCCTCAAACAGGTAAGGCTTTAAATCAAAGATTCTTAACCTATGGAGCGCCACCTTGAAGGCCTCAAAAGAACAACAGTTTTTAACTTTGGGCCACAGAGGGCTGCAGCACCGCATTGATTTTAAATAAGGTGCAAAGCACTTTCTCACCACTAGTAGCAGATGTGCACCCCTTAGTTGTTTAACAACTTTTTAATATGTAGAAGAAGAACCTTAGAAACCTGCCGAGAATGAAAATGTATTTTAAATGAAAAGTAGAAGCAAAAATGAAGGTAACCCATCAAAAAGGCCAAAGTTTGTCACTAATATGAAGTACAGCTTCTGTTTGTCATGCAATATTTTAAAAGTTCAAAACATTATCAAATACAGTTGCAGATGCAACTATATTTTAATTTGCACTTTAAATTAATTTTTGTAG